CCCAGCGCAGGGGCCTGTTCCCTCCCAGGCGCAGGACTTGGCATCTGTGGGACTTCACGCAGTTCCTGGTGCCCCGTTCCTCCAGCCTTTGTTAATCGATAGCTGGTTCCTTGGCGAATCAGCGCAAGACGGGTTGTTTTCCCTTGACTTGCTCGTTGAGTTGTGCTCCAACTTGCTTTTAAAACTTGTACCCTGGCACCTTTGACCATGCTTTTGGGTAAGCACGGGTGACTCTCTGCCGTGTGAGGAGTAACGGCCCTTCTGCTTGCTTCCTGACGGCAGCTGCAACTGGCAGTGACATCGACCCATCAAGAAAACGGACAGGCAGCTTTGGCTTGGTTGGGGAGGGCTGTAGAGTGGAAAGGAAGCCGTAGTCTTGCTGATAGACATCTCCTGCAGCGCCCAGACGTAGGTTAACTGGGGACTGGGCCAGGCAGCTCTCTTACAGTCCTTCCTGAGACTGGATAAGTCACGACTGAAACCTTGCAAAGAGAAGATGTATGAAAATACTTTTCCTGCGGCTGCTTGTGTTTCTGAGCAAATGCACAAATAGGAGAACTGGGAGGCTGGGTTGTTAGCCTGTGCATTTTAAAGAGATCCATCACAAAGTTGTTATATAGGACATGCAGAAACTGCGTATCCTGTTCTGCCCCCGTGGGACTCGGGCAAGATTGATCAGCGTGTCAGAGAGAATAGGAGAGTGGGTCTAATGAGGTGGAATATGTCTCCTCGTACAAGAGAGCTGTGCAGCAGTCAGGGGAACCGTGTGTTGTGCAGCCCAGAGTTAATGAGTGGAAATTGGGCTGGCAGAAGCTGTGCTGTTCCTGCGAGGTCCGCGGTTAGAGGAGCATGCTGTCCTAATTGGGCCAGGCAGGAGGGGGGATCGCTCCCGCTTCCTGCAGCGGCCTCGTTAGGTGTGTGCCATGTCGGGTTAGCAGGGCTATCGCAGCGCAGAATACCCAAATCAGGTTATTGTTACTCTTTTCCCTTTGCTTATATTCGATCTCAACAATGCAAGATGGTGCCTGGTTATACCAACTCTGGCAATTTCGATCTGGAAAAAATCAAAAAATGAGTTGTTATCAGCAAACAGGAAAGTTGCCTGATACAGTAAGCACACATTCACGTTTGGCTTTGTCATTTCTGATTGTGGGGATTCCCTGATTTTGGTGCTTATGAGGGCTGTCTGCTCAAGTAGTCTCTGTGCTCTTGGCTCTGGTGTCCTGTGCCCCACCGCTGTAGTGCATTACCAGTCGTTTTGGATCGTGCCATGGGCGTGCTGGCCTCAGAGCGGTCTGCTCTTGGTATTAAATGTGTCTGCCTCTGTCTGGGTTGTCCTTAACACCTGGCACATGTTTCCATAGCTGTGGTGGACTTGCTTCAAGAACTGACTGATATAGATACTCTCCATGAGAGTGAAGAAGGAGCCGAAGTCCTCATAGACGCTCTGGTAAGTGGTCAGCTCCGATTTTTGCAGTGCCTGAACGACACCTGCCGTACGCAGCACAGCGGCGAAGACTGAAGGGCCGCGCGTTCTGCTCGCTGGTGACCCGGATTGCCGGCGCCGCGGCGAAGTCAGCCGGTTGGGCAGCCTGACGTGCCGTCCTGGGGAGCGCCATGGGTGCCTCTGGTGGAGTGCCGGCGTTTGGGGAGCGCGTTCTTCTTGCACCTTGTCTGCCGCTTCTTTTTGGGAAGGAACACGCTCACATTGCAGTTTGTGTAGGCTGAGAGATCTTTTCCTGCAGGGAGGGAGAACGAGGTAATATTTGTGACTTGGACAGTGTCCATTGAAAATAGGAGCTTGCTTTGCATTTTTCTTCCTTCTTGCAGGAAAGGGTGACCTCTGTTCACCCGTGGAGAATTGAAGTGTGTGGCAGGGCTCAGATTGTTATCTGGAGGACGCAGGGCCATTGTGATCTTTCAGTCTAACCTTTTGCATGGGAGACCAGTATTCTTCTACCCAGTAACTCTTGTTTCAAACAAAAAATGTGTGTTGGAACTGGAACATCTGTTGTTATAGTGAGGGTACACGTTTTTCTTAACAAGAAGGAAAAGCTTGAAAGTTTTCATGTACCGGAGCTAATGCATTTTAAGGGTGGAGGGGGTTTAGAGGTAATGGTCCTTTTTGGCGTGGAGATTAAACAACCCCCGAAAACGATCTGCCTCAGCAGAAGATGCATTGCTCAGTCCTAAGTGCTCCCTGCCTGGTTAACTCTCTCGAGTGCCTCCTGGCCTCCGTGGCAGGGAGCTTCCCCCTGTCCTGGCGTTTGCGCTGGGTGCCTCCCGCTCCTCGGTGCGTGGGGCGGGTGCTGAGCCGAGCAGAAGCCCTCCAGGGCAGCGATGCCCAGCAGAACCTGAGACTCGGGTGTCTGTCCTGCCACGGGGCAGCCTCTGCTGGTGAACTGCTGCGTCCTGAATCGCTGTGGCTGTGTCCTGTTCTGTAACTGTTATGTTGAAATGGAAGGACTCGGCGTTAAGGTTTTCTTTTGTTTGCTTTGTTTGGCTGCTCCGTGTTCTCCTACAATCCTTCTTGTCAGTCACTCCAATGTTACCTGCAGAGGTTAATGACAGTGGCCCGGAGCCGAGTTCCTCCAGCCGCCCTCTGGGCTGTTGTTAATTACTGTGCCTTGGTGGAAGGAGCGCTGGGTGAATGAAATGGTGGAGAGGAGCTGCTGGAGAAGATGTTCTCTGTAAAATGTGAGGAGAGGTAGTAAATCAGGCAAAGTTCTTTCTCTATTTTTCTTGTCACCAGCCTGCTGATAATAACCGAGTTTTAGAGGTTTTATTGTCCTCTTTGAAAGAAGCAGGTCAGGCAAATCTTGGGAGAAATGTTTAGAGATCTGCTTTTTAGATTACTTTTTTTTTTAAAAGGAAGGAGGTACAATGTGGGTATTTGTGAAGGTGGTTGCACTACCTTCCACAGCAGCCGACACTTATATTTTTTCCCCATGCTCACTGGGCCCAAAGCTAGTTAACAGTGTTTGAACTGGAAATGTTATTTTGTTTAACTTTTCCAAGCTCATGTCTGCAATGGAAAGGTCGCCGAAGGCAAGCTGGGCTCTGTCCAGTGGCAGCTCTCAAAGCATATTCCTGGTGTTAGCTCTTCGGTGAGGAGGCTCTACCTGCACATGGGGGTTCCTGCTCCTGCAGTTGCTTTGTCTGGGTGTCCTTAGCTTGCCGAGGTCCTCCTGGTACCTTCATCTGGCTCGGATTTAAAGGCAACTTGTGATCATTCAGCTTTTGCATTTGAATCTGCGTGTGCACATTGTTCCTTCAGCTTTTGTGCCTCTTAAGGTGGAAGATAGAACAGAAGTGCAGCAGCCCAGCAGTGAGCAGCTGGAACTGGAGCCGCTTGCAGAGCAGACAGCTCCGTGGTGGTTGTGCCTCGCGCTTCAGAATTCTGAGGGATTATAAATCAATCAGGCTGGTTCAGGAGATAAGACTGTGACAAGGTGCATGTTTTTCTCCAGATGTTTTTCTGTTTAATCTGAAACACAAAAGTTGTTTAATTAATTAGGACAAACACAGAGGCAGATTTACTTGGTGATTCCTTTGCTTCCTCTGAGACTTTAGAGCAAGATTGTTAATGTCTCCTGATGACGTCTGGCAGGATGGTTCAGGAGGGCTTGTTGATTTTTATTATTTATTAACCTCCCCGTTCTTTCTCCTTCATCTTCCTTTTTTCAGTCATCTCTCTCAACTTTTTGTCTTTCCCCCGGCCCTGGTGATTTAGGTGGAGGGCCAGGTCGTGGCCTTGTTGGTCCAGAATTTAGAGCGCCTGGATGAAGGTGTGAAGGAGGAAGCTGATGGTGTCCACAACACGCTGGGTAAGCGGCTGTTGCGCAGCCTCTCGCTTCTCTGTGTTTTGTCCAGAGGGGGGTGGGTTATCCCTCCCTTCCTTCCCCCTTGAACAGCCGACAGGAGGGTGGAGGACCTCGTGCAGCTTCTGTTCAAGCACAGCTTCAACTCATGGTAGAGCCAAGTCCCTTGAGCCAGCGCTTGTCGCCTGGCCTCTGGCCTCTTCCCAGAGCGGTGGTGGCGGGAGGTGCTGATACGCGGATGGCACTGCGCCGCACCAGGAGCGCTCGCTGCCCCTGCGTGGACTGTGCCCTTGCTGTGAGCTCCGCTTGCTCCGCCAGGAGAGCGCGCTCTGTCTCAGCGATGTAGGTAACTCCCGGGCGGTAAAACATCTGCATCTCGTACAAGCCCGTCGTCACCACAGTGACTGCTCTGCAGCGTGTCGCTGCTACTGGTGGTCAGACCCTCACCCGCTCCCTTCTGTCGTGCGGGGTTGTAATCTCCCGAGAACTGGAAGAATGAGAGAGACTGGGAACATGAGTTTTGGAATTTTTACTGCTGCTGTTGTTGCTGGTTTAGTTTTGTGCAGTGAGAATTTCTGCCGGGAGGTATCTTAGGCTTCTTCGAGCAGTAGCTGGTGTCACCCTGGGGGTGGACTGTGTGGGCAGGGTAAAAACCGAGATGGTGTCACACACCTGAGCTTGCGTCTCGCTCAGGAAAAGGTAGTTTTGGGAATGAGGTGTAACTTTGAGAAGTGCAGTGCAGCCCTAGGAAGGACCTGGCAAAGCAGTGTGATATGGGCGTGAGCTGAAGGCGGCTGGGGGAAAACGTCCGTGTTCTGTGTCTTTCTCCTCAGCCATCGTTGAGAACATGGCAGAGTTCCGACCAGAGATGTGCACAGAAGCTGCGCAGCAGGGCCTCATGCAGTGGCTGCTCAAGAGGCTGAAGGTGAGCTTGTTTTCCTGCTGTCCTTTGGGAGACGTCGCAATAAAAACTGACAGGCCACTGGTCTGGAACCTGGTGTGCTCGAGATGGTGTTGGGCACAATATTAAAGGCCCAGAGGCTATTTATCGCTGTCTCTTTCTGTTTGCGTGGCTTGTCTTTGTGCAAAGTTCTAACATTTGTGAATACAGTGGGTTCAAAGCTCGCCTCAAACTGGGAAGTGTCTCCCTTTTAACTTCCTGTAAACGAGCAAAATTGGAGGAGTTGGCTTTACGTGTAAGCAGCTCTACACCGTGCGGTGCAAGGCTGGGTAGAAGTACGCTCATTTTTGTGCGTTTGCCTGGAAGAGTGTCTGATGTTGAGTCCTCTTGAATGTTGTTGGGTTTCACTTGTTTCTGTGGGAGTTCTTTTTGGTAACACGTCCCTGTGTTGGAGAAGCCAAGTTAAGGAGAAAAAGTTAGAATTCAGGGTTTGTATCCTCAGCGGGTTCAGTTAAATGGGCGTGCTTCTCTCTTGTCGTTGCGTTGTGAACACCTTACAGTGGGAGGTGTCTTTCTTCTGTGGTGGATTTCTGCTCCACGGCTGAGACCTGTGGGAATGCAAAAGCTGACCAGTGAGCGGGGAAACTAAGAAAGACCATTTTATGCCTTTGCTTCCTACGTTTCTAACAGTTTTTCGAGTTCCAAGTGGTGTCTTTGTTTAACTGCTGCTGGTGGTGGCTCTTTCTTTGAACTCATCTAATCGCCTTTTGAATTCAAAATTACTTTTTGATGCTCTTACCATCCTGTGGCAGAGTTACACAGTTTAACTCTGTCTTGTGTGAAAAGATACCTAAATGTTCCCTGGAAAATACGGTAGGAAAGGAATGAGTTCAGCTCTCTGACAGAGCTGGTGGAGGAAATTCAGCAAACAAATTCTGGCTTTTCCTAACCCTGTTAGTGAGGCATTGTCGCCTCTGCGCTTGAATGTCTTTGTGTTTGGAGGGCAGCTGAGTCAAAGAAGTACTCTGCCAGCTTGTAAGTGTGCAGTACCCCTCTGTGCACCTCCTAGACTTGTTGGCAGCAGTAACCTGTAATTTGTCATTACGCTTTGCTTAAAAACAAAGTGAAGTTGATTTTATTCCAGGCAGGTACGTACTGCTGCCTGCCTTGTAATTACTCTGGCGGCTGAAGGACTTGGGATCTTGGGAAAGCAAAGTGATCCCAGCGTGGGTTCCCCTGCTTGAAGCCACAGCAGAGGAGTGTTCAGGGCGCCCGAGCCCGGGTGCTGAGTGTGTCTCTCCTTTGCCCTGACCTGTGCCGCGTTGGCTGTGCTGGGCTGGGTGGTCAGGCGGCGCGGGGGAGCCGGTGACACCCTCGCCCAGGCCCCTTTGCTGTTGGCCACGCTCGCTCTTGACTCTCGCCCTGTCAGGTGTGGGTAGGATTAAACCAGGGTCGCAGCATCTGGGTGGAGCCTCGTGCTGCTGAAGAGCCTCTGTGGGGTGAGTTTTCAGACCAGGGCTCAGTCTAGGTGTCGGAGAGGACATCTGGCACGCCGCACAGAGCGCGGTTTCTGTGTCCTGGCTCCATTTCAGGTCGCATTCTGACTGTCAGGGCTGCCTGGGAGAGCTCAGGTGGAGAGCTTGGTAGCTCGCTGCTCCGAACTCGAGCCGGGTTTGATGTTGTGTGCGGCCTTGGGAGCACGGCGCGCCGGTTCCTAACGCTTGCCGTAGGACAGCGGTTGGCCCGCGCCGTGACCGGGGCCAGCAGAGCCGCCCCGCTCCGAGCGCCTGCCGCCGTCCCCTGCCCGTGCCATTGACTGCTTGGGCGGGGGACGGGGCTGCTGCC